GGGCTACACAGCAGTTGGTCATCGACTTGACGCACACCGCTCTGCGGATTCCGTGCCGTTCCGCACACACCCTGTGAGATTCGCTCAGGGCTAACAGCAACCTCATTGCTCACCACGGCCGCTTTGGCCTCATGCTCACGCCAAAAACACTTCCTCTTCCTAGCAGAGGCGAGCCCATGACTCTCCAATGCTCCACTAGGAGGGGTGCGCAGCACCCAATGTCTTCGACTCCCAGTCAATCCATGGATCATGACGCTCCAGCCATGCCATGCCTAGGATGAGATCATATCTCGAATCAAAATCTATGACCAAACAGCGTTCCCCGCTATCGAAGTCTAAGAACTTTACACCAAGGTCTACAGAAGCTGTAACCAGTGTCCTCGTCGCAAGACGGACAGAGATCGTGTCTCTCATTTGTACTTCCAGTGCCTCAGCATACTGCTGACCCTTTAAGGGAGGAACGGTGGGCATATTTGCCCGTGGCACCCGAGTCTATCAAGACTCTTCCCAGCTTAATAAAGTCCTTCGCGTTTGCCTGAACGACCAGCAAGCCCGGCTTGCGCACACTCTTCAAGAGTCTCGCAAGAGAGCCCAGTTCTCTTTCGGGGCTAAATCCCGTTGATCTCTACCTCCCGGAGGCTCAACATACCTCAGTTCTGCCCCAGTAGGCCGCCCCGCGCCTGCTGGGAGTCGCCATCTCCCCGCGACGACCCGAAGATTGGCTCGACGATGCCTGGAGCTTGTTGCGGAGAGGGCAGCCTGCCTTCGATGCATAGTGATCATGCACAGAAAGCAATGGTGGATGTCGGCACGCTGCTCAGTAGTAAGAAGCTCCGCTTCTTCGTCTTCAGCATAGCTGAAGGCCATCGGCTCCGGACCGCTCGAAGACTACTACTAGCGCTCCAATTAGGTAGATCCAACCTGAAGCTGTGTTCGGCATTCATGCCACATTCACATTCTCTACGGAAGAGGTAGGGTGTACACGGAATACTTCCGTTCGAGCCGCACTCGTGCGGAGTCCCTCCATGAACACACTCACCGTGACCAGTTCCCGAAGAGGGTCCACCGCCATCCCGGCGATCAGAGCTCTCAACTCCTGGACATAGTCCTGAGAGTCTGTTAGCTCTCCGGACACCGTATCCCTTGTGTATCCCACACGGGGTAACACCGTTACATGGATGGAGGATCAGCCCTACACCTGTGCATTTTCTCTTCCTTCTCTCATACTTTTGTTTTGATTTCAGTATAGTCTTAGGCTCATTGCCGATACAGAAACCTTAAGCGAAAATATCCGTTATGTTCTACAGGACAACATAACACAGACACTGCGCAGAATCGAATTAGAGTATATATCTCTTATGCTCTACGGTACAGCAAACATGGAAACTAAGGGGTAATCGTTCCCCCCCCCACTTTAATAACTTGAAGCCAATAAAACTCCCTCTTCCATTTCAGATTCTTTGAATGTTGAAGTATGTGATTTACCGACTCCGTAATCCATGGATTCTTTTTTGCTAAAAATTGTCCACAGGGATTCTGTACTGTTTGCACATACTGTTTGTGGTCAACATATCCTAAGTAAATGCATCGTTCAAAATTCTTTTTGCCCACCTTTTGAAAGGTGGAAGATGTGGAGCGCGCGAGGTGCACCGTGTTTGTATGTATGTTTGCACTCGTAGGTTATACCGCGCTGCACACATATACTATAGGATCATAAAAGTTGTTAAGAGAACTGATGAGCCGTAGTGAGGAAAATGGATCTTCTGTCTTAATAGTATTTTCTGTGAATTATTTATTACAATAATTAATTGTAAAGTCTCTGATTGGACAAAAAAGGTTTTAAAAAATTGAACACTACATTCTCCAATGGAACATTTACCTTCTATATGCCCAGCGTGCCGGGCGGTCATCGCGTACCCCCGGTCGATCGAGATGGATTCGGGATGCAGCTCCGGCGGTGGCCTGCTGCGAGAAGCTCCTATCATGGGATGCGTTCGTACTGGGCGAGGCTCGAGCGGGTGCCCACCGGTGCATCGTGCGCACCGCTGGTCCATACAGTCAAGCGTTTTGACACTGCCCACGCGCACCGGTGCCGGCACTACCCGAAGACCCGCGACAAAGCGCTGTTATGGGCCCACCACCCCGCCGCTTCACGTTGTCCTAGAGCGCGTTAGCCGCCGCCAACGCCGTTGTCACAAGAAGCCTGGCCAACGTAACAAACGTCGCCGTAACTAACGGAAGAACTGATTGGCTAGAAATAAACGTTTTCCGTTGGCCATAAATGGTTTTGTACTTTTGTACAAAGTGTGCAGATTTAGAAGTATATGCGAAATTACCAGAAATGTATTGGCATATATTAAACGCACGTAGCGTGCTGTACGCGACAAAATGGAAGGAGAAGTACGGACTAGCGGAATCACGGAAGAGCACCAAGCCGGGGAGGAGCGCTGAACCAAAGAAGAGCGGCAAATGTCCACGGACGCACGGTAGAGGCCATAGCGATGAGAGCAC